ACACGGTCAAGTTTTCCCCTGGGGATGGGATGAGCGTCAGCCGAAGGAGCTGGCTTGCAGTTAGGGGCCACATTGTATCCAAAACAAACAAGCAGGCAAGCGAACACAGCTTAGAACAGGGAAGTTGCGCTCTGTCCTGAGTCACCCCCACAAGGGGAGGCTCACAGGACCCCAGACCGTCAAAGGGAAAGACACCCAACCCATGCCTCACGCTTGCTCTGGGCCACCACACAATCACTGATGGGAGCGACAGGTGGCAATAGTCACACTTTTTTTTTTAACCTTATTTTGTCCCCCATATGTGAGTTGGAAATGCCTCTCCAGGACTAAGCGGGATCCATCTTCCTCCGCCACGAGCCTCCCTGCGTCTGGGATGGCCCGCCCTAGGACTGTTCCTGGCAACTGGTCCACGAGGTCCAAGGGGGTCTGAGACTCTGCCTTCGTCCTGCCCTTGACGTGTCCTCTCAGGCAAGGTTCCTTCTCTGGCCGGATGTGTCTTCTAGGACAAGGCTTTTCAAAAAGGTGGCCATGCCTTGTGAGGTTGTGTGCAGCAGTAAGGACAGCTGTGTGGCTCACTTTTCCCATGTTCCATTTTCGGTTTTGCTCCGTTTTTCTGATACAAGGGTAATGACACATTTAAGGAGTGGTATAAATAGTAACCCAGATGGACAAGTGGGAGCGGCCACGGGCTCTGTGGCCAACCCTTGCGAGATGTCCAGGCCAGATCTTTTTATGGCTTATTTTTTATAATCTAGAACAATCTCACTGAGGTTTTGGTAGGGCAGGTGGGTTAAGTTAGATTGCATTCATTTAAAGAGTCGGGGAGGTGAGATTCTGCTTGGAAATGTGTTGTGTCACTTTAGTTGTTATAGCAGCGAATGGATGCGACACTAGCGAAGAAAGAAGGGAAAAACGACGAAGTCTTCGATCAGGTTTCAAGTTTCTCCCCAGGGTCTTTCTATCTGTAGCTCTGGGATTTTTACCATCACGTTGGAAAATGCCGGAAAGGGCTGTTCGTGAGACCGGCCACGGCACTGAAACCCAGCTGGGTGCTGAGGCGTCTAGTCCCCGGAGCTCAAGGAGGAATTCCAAACTGAAGCGAGAGTTCGTGGTAGCTGGATGTTTCCACCAATGAATCAAAAACGACTTATCCTGCAATAATTATGCAGGAGGCTGAGGCATCATGAGCAAGTAAGTATGTGGCTCTGCCTTCAGGGAGCTGAGTGAAGGGGGACAGCCGGACAGCAGAAGCATCAGAAGCAGAGAAGGGGGCTGGCTGTGCCCCAGGGGGGCTCGGGGGGGGCAAGGCCCCCCGGCCTGCAGTTCCCAGTCCTCCATGGCCATAGAGAACCACTGGCCACCGACTGTGGGACATCAGATGCCACTCTGAGGCACTGTGGAGTCCCCCTTGCTCATACCCGACTCCACACACGGGCTGTGTCAATGCACAGGACACGAATGTTGGGGGTATGTGCTTCCTTCACAGAGGGGCCCAGGCCCACAGAATGGGAACCCTCCTGGTGGGCCCCCAATTCTGGGAGGGATCAGTTTGCAAGCGCTGAGACACCGGCCATCCGTCGAATGCTTGTGCGTGTGCGTGTGCATGTGTGTGTGTGTACACGTGTGGTGCGGGCAGACTGACCGAAGGTGGCTGTGGGTAATCAGCTGTTGGATCTGGTACCTTCTCCCATTGCCTGAGAGCCCACAGAGGAAAATGAGCCGTGGCTGCCGTTCTGGCTCGGTGCGTGGTAAGCCCTTATCAGAGACTGCAATTCTCAGAAGACGGGAGGGTCCCTCCGGAGACAAAGACCAGTGACAGTGGATCTTCCCCGGGAGGAGGGAGAAGTGAAGATTCTCGAGCCGAGAGCGGGCAGCCTCCCTTCTTCTCTCCTGTGGGTAGGGCCGGCCACCTAAGACACCAGGGAACCAGGGCCTCCCACGATGTCTCAAGAGCCATGGGCACGCACAGTGCACTAGGGTCTGAATGCACCGGGCATCCCGCGTCTGTTCAAGTTCACCTGAACTCTGTCTCCTCAACCTTAGCGCCCTCGCTGCCTCTGGTTTCCAGGCCCGGTCTGGGCTCATCTGCACAGCTCTGTAGCACCCCGTGTCAGCCCTGAACGGTCACTCGCCCAAGTGACCGCAGTCCCAGCAAGAGGGCTGTGAATGCGAGGAGGCGGAAAAGCCATCGGGACCCCAGTCCTTTCCGGAAACTTCCAGTAACGCCGCCGGCAAGAGCAGCTCAGTGGGCACCACGGCCTAATGAGGAATAAAAGACGAGAAGGTGCTAGTTGGAATGGAGGCTTAGGCATTCTGACAAAGGAGTAACAGTAAACGTCACTGGGAAAAATTCACAATCAGACCGAAACAAAATATATTTATTAGAAATATTACACAGTCATACATCATACACTTCTCCATGTTAATAGTTAAATACATCCATGTTGGCATGTCACGTCCTGGATGTGCTCTTTGTAGAAACGAGGCCACAGATGTATCAACTGCATCCAACTAATGTAGTTAAAATTAGGGAGCTACGGAGGATGTTCCAGACTTAGCCAAAGTCTAACCTGGGTCAAGAAAAGTGAAACACCCAGGGAGCTTGGGCAAAGGAGATATTAAAAATACTTTTTTAAAAAGGTAGCTAAGCTCTATATCTCTTACTGCATGTCCTTGGTGGCTCATCTCAAAATGGCACGCAAGCTTGGGAATGGGAGAAGCTGCAGCTGGATTTGGCAAGTGGTTGTGCAGAGAAGGGCCCGAGTCCCCTCCTTCCACAGGCCAGTGGGACACCTGCCCTCCACCCCACCATGGGGAAGTGGGAGAAGAAGCTTCAGAGAAATGGCCAGTGTTGTCTGGAGGAAGAGAATCCTGCAGATATTCGTCACCTCCAGATGGCTAATTGCTTTGGGATGCTTCGGATGGTCTCAACAAAAGCTCCAAAACAATAGCTGAATGAAGAACGAAAACCAGAGACTAACCTCATTTCTGAAGCAAGAAGGAATAGGACAAGAGAAGTGGCTGTTTGCCGGGTTCCTCAAAACAAGAACCCTGGGGAGCAGGGCCATGGTGCTAACCCTCAGCCAACAGAGCTCCTGTCCATGGAAGATCTCACAATGATGAAAACCATGGACCTCTCTCTAGGTCTTTAAAAAACTCCGTTCTTTTGGGCCTGGCATTTTGCATCTATCTTTTCTAGAAGAACAATGCATTAAAAAAGGGGGGGGAGGGGATCTGCAGAACCACTGCATGACTTTAAATGACTACTGGCTGAAGGGAGATGAGAACAAAAGTGGATATTGCAAGCCTCAGGACAGAAAACTGGAAATGGTACAATTGGCTGACACGACCTTGTTTTCTCAATTGATCAATTTTCCACGTTCACCTTGTGCTTGGAGCGCTCTGGCTAAAAATGGATCTGAAAACCCCATCCTGTGGCCCAGCCCCAGGGCCCGGACAGCATCCCCCCGACCGCCAGGTCCCCTAAGTGCTGGAAGGCCTGGTCCTGCAGCCCAGCCACCTTCAGTCCCTCTCCCGGGACCCTAACACCACTTGTGTTTCTATGAGCAGGACACATGCTTCCCCTTCTAGAAGCATGCCCACTGGCAAAGAAAATGGTAGCCAAGGAGCTTCTTTGAGTTATAAAAATAAATGGCACATGACCTTTCTTTTATAGGACATTTCTTTCCTTCTTTTTCCCCTAAAGGGAGCAGGCTCAGCGTAGGGCGAGGGGAAAGAGCACCACGACCACAGTGCATGACACTGCTTGGCCGAGAGCTGGATCATCTGACTCATTTACAGTAATCACTAAAAACAGGGTGCCAATAATGCTGAACACCCCCTCCAGGTATCCCAAGCATCTCAACTGCCTCTCCCACACAAACCCTGCAGTAAATCCAGATTAAACACATCGACCGACAGTTCAACCCAACTCCTCGGGATATTACCTTCCCCCACTGCAATGGAGAGCAAGGCAGAAGCTCCGGGGTAATGAAAACTCATCAGTTATGTCAACAAAGGACAGATGCGTGAAGCAACACGATGGGAGTACTTTCCATTTGGATATGTGCATCAGGAAGGAGTAAATTAAATTTGTTCAGACTGTGCCTCTGACTTCCATGTGAAAACAAAGGAGCCACTGAGTGGGGGGGGGGTCACCTTTACCAAACTGCCCAGCCCCAAGCTGTGCTCACGGCCCCACCCTGGGGAGCGAGATCAAAGGCGGTCTCTCCTCTCAGGGGTTGTCAGGGGAACTCTGAAAATATACAGACTAGATCCCCGCTCCCGTTGTTCCAGATGCTCTGATTCAACGGATGGGGCAGGCCAGGGGTGTGTGCTTTGAACCAGCTCCCCGGAAGGTTCTGACCTGGAGCCACAAAGGAGAACGCTCAGCAGGCAATGGGTGGAGGCTTGAGAAGGAGGGATGGACCCTCCGCAGAGCCCAGCAGCCGCCTCTCCCGAGGTGGTCCGGAGGGAGGGGCTAACACATGCCTCTTCCGGGACAGGGCCTGGGCCGCCAAGCAGCCACCCGTAACTGCCAGTGACAGAGGATAGCGCAGCCCTTTGGCGCTGACGAGTCACCTGACTGCCCCGGGGAGCCACACCTTCATGGGCTACGCAACGTGCATCCACGTGCCCACCATGAGCACCTGCCTGGGGTGCCCACTTGCACTTCTGAGCCCCCTCTCCCCCCGGGGCTGTTCTGGCGGGAGCTCTGCTGTCGGCCCTGCCCTTACAAGAGAGCAGACGTGGAGCCATCTCTGCCCACCCCTCAGGGCTTGCTTTGGCCCTGCAAATGCGAAGGGCCTGATGGGGCACTAAAACCCAAGTCCAGAGTTGAAATAGTGTTTACATTTGCTGTCTGCCTGGTATCCCCAGACATACACACCTCTTCGGCCTGCGTGTGCAAACACACGAAGACCTGGGTGGGCAAGTGAGGACCGTTCTGCACCGGGCCGAATGTCTGTGGGCTTTCATGAAGGGCAATGGGAATGAAGCGGGGGGGGCGACAGGGGCTGACGTCTCCCTTTCAGCACGGAGGTTCTGAGCGTGAGCGCGTGCAAGCACACAGATGCACACTTCTGTCTGTGGACCACCCCACGTGGGGACACCGCAGCCAGCGACCCAGGGGCTGCTTTGTATTCTCACACCTCTTCTCCTCCATCCCGAGATTCTAATCAGTGACAGCGAGATCTAAAAAGCGTGATCAAGTTCTAGGCGTCACAACTACTGTCTAGCACGCAAGCACATTTCCGCAAAAAGAAGGGCTCGTGGGTTTCCAGGCGGTGCGAGACCGAAATGTTTGTCTTTTTGCATTTTGCTGTGTGTTTCTTTTTTGGAGGGGGTGGGCGGTGGCAAGGGCAGAGTTTTTCTAAAGGCAGGAGCCCGGGTTTTTAGTGAAAAGATGACTGCTCTGGAAGTGCTGTTGGTGGTGGATCCCGGCAGCTCACGGGTGAAGTTGCACTGCGTGACCTGAGATGTCCTACTGGGTTCTCGTGGAGGGAGCCTGGGCTGAAGGACAGAGGCCCATGCAGGGAGCAAAGCTTCCCCAGCTGACGCTCCAAATGCATCTGGATTTAAAGCGGATGTGCGGCGGAACTCCGCTCCGTTTCTTGTTTGCGTGTTGGTCCCCCTGGATGGAGCGCTGTGGGCGGTGGTGGATGGAGCAGGGCCTGTGGAAAGTGACCAGGTGCTTCGAGGACCAGCTGCAGGCCGGGGTGGGCGGCGTCTCTCGGGCCCTTGGGCTTTACGTCTCAAAGTACTTGTAGATCTGGGCCACGTACTGCATCACGCTCTGCCAGTCGGGCCGGTCTGTGTACAGCATCTCACTGAGCTCCTGCAGGAGAAAAGAAGAGGTCACGCTGGGGACACCAGAGACCGCCCCCGACCTTCCCACAAAGGGGCTTGGCTGCAGGTTGGGGCTGGTGTTGCCTAGAAACCCTCCTCCATCTGCTTGGACAGAAGGTGTAGGCAACACTGAAGTGCTGTTAAATGTGATTTAAGTTTAAAGAAAAGTGTTTTATTCCTATTTAATCAAGAGATGCCATCCCTTAAAAAAAATTTTTTTTAAAGATTTTATTTATTTGAGAGAGGATAGTGAGAGGGAGCATGAGGCGGGGAGGGGCAGAGGGAGAGGGAGAAGCAGACTCCCCGCTGAGCAGGGAGCCCGACGTGGGGCTGGGTCCCAGGACCCCAGGATCACAACCCAAGCTGAAGGGAGACGCTTAACCGACTGAGCCACCAGGGCATCCCGAGATACTGTCCCCTTTAAAAAACATTAGGCATGACTTCCTGCCCCTTTCATCTTAATAACATGACGGCATTAAAAAAATTTTGTAAAGAGAAAGTCATCCATAACTCCATTATCATAGGATGATTTCCATTTTTCTAAGTTATATTGGAATGTGCACCTTTGTTCTCCCACACTTCCATCACGTGGACGTACTAGCGTGTGCTCTGTGCTTTTATTTTATTATTTTTTTAGGGGGGTGGTGGGAGGGGCAGAAAGAGAGGGAGAGAGAGAATCTCAAGCAGGCTCGATCCCAGGAGCCTGAGATCATGACCTGAGCTGAAATCGAGAGTCGGACGCTCAAGCGGCTGAGCCGCCCAGGCGCCCCTATGGCTTTTTTCTTTTTCTTTTTTTTTAAATTAATTTATTTATTTGTCAGAGAGAGAGAGCACAAGCAGGGGGAGTGCCAGGCAGAGGGAGAAGCAGACTCCCCACTGAGCAAGGAGCCCAATGCGGGACTCGATCCCAGGACCCTGGGACCACGACCTGACCCGAAGGCAGACGCCTAACCGACTGAGCCGCCCAGGTGTCCCCCCATTGTGCTTTTTCACTTAACGTTCTCCATACACAACTTGACAAGTGAATGTACTGTGTCGCTGGCTGTCACGGCAGTTAAGGCTCATGGTCCAAGGAACGGCTGCCCCACAATCAACATGACATCTAATGCGACGTGTAGCCCGTGTTCACTTCTTCACGTTACAGACTTTGCGGTAAGCATCTTTGTGGCGTGTTGTTGAATTCATGGCTTGAGATGAATTCTCACGAGTGGGATGACCACAAAAGCCCTGAACCAACTGAACATGCAACCACTCTCTTATCAGGATTAAGTGTTAGACCATTCAACGTTTGTTGTTGTTGTTGCTCTTTCTCCCCTAGTTTCGTAGGTGATCAGCAAGGAGACAGTGGAGACCAGAGCATGACAGGCAGGAGGGCTGGCTGCTCTCTATCAAGCAGCCAGTCAACTGTTCCCAAAATGTCTGCCGCAGAACATATTAAATAATTCACTTGGGGATTGAATTTGGATTCTTTTGTGTTCACGAGAGAACAGTAGGAAAGGACTCTGATGTAAAGCCAGGAGCAGGGATGTGGTGGAAAAGCAAGGTTGAACTTACTTAGCATATCTGTTCTTGGGTGGTGACAGAAATGTGACCTGTAACCGGCCATTTATTTTGTTTCCACGACACCTAAATATCTTTTACGGGTTTTGCTGCTTGATTGTGCTGAAAAAATGATCAGCTTAGCACTGGCAAGGATGTGTCTTCTGTCTCGGAGAGGACGCGGGAGTCCGATCAATATTCACAGCTCTACTCAGACTATCTCATCATGCCTGAATCTGACAACAGTAACATTAAAACCATTTTGGTCCATTGTCAACATCACACCCGAACACATCTGAAGAAATACTATAGCGTGTTTCAGGAGGAGGGAGTGTATGCTGCCTGTCTCCAAATCTGAGGCCGCATGACATTTATGTGTATTAGTAGCTGAAAACCTTTCAAGATAGAAAGAACCAGGCCCAGATGGTTTCACTGGAAAATTCTGCCAAATACTCAAGAAGAAATAATACCAATTCTACACACTCTCTTCCAGAAAACAGAAGAGGAGGCACACCTCCTCACTCATTCTGTGAAGCCAGCATCGCCCTAATACCAAAGCAGACAGAAACATGGCGAGAAAGCTACCCACTTCCCACATGGACACAGGCACAAAAATCCTTAACAAACATTAGCAAATTGAATCAGGATCAAGCGGGGTCCACGTCAGGAATGCCACACAGGCTCAACATCCATCAGTGTTACTCATATGAACAGACTTAATAAGAAAAATCATATGATCGTATCAACAGATGCAGAAAAAGCATTTACACACATACCTGGAAGATATTTGTGGGTTCGGTTCCAGACCGCCACAGTAAAGCAAACACAGCATAAGCGAGTCAAATGAATTTTTTGAGTTTCCAGTGCATGAAAGTTACGTTTTCACTATACGGCAGTCTAACATGTGTGCAACGGCGTATGTCTAAAAAAGCCCAACAAGGTACATTTGACTCTCGCACAACACAAGCTTGAACCGTGCGGACTCACTTATGTGTGGGTTTTTTTGGATAAATAGAGTATGGTACTATATGTATATTTTCTCTTCCTTATGATTTTCTTAATAATATATTTTTCCTTGGGCGCCTGGGTGGCTGAGTCGGTTAAGCATCTGCCTTCGGCTCAGGTCATGATCCCGGGGTCCTGGGATCGAGCTCCGCATCGGGCTCCCCGCTCAGCGGGGAGCCTGCTTCTCCCTCTGTCTCTGCCTCTCTCTCTCTCTCTCATGAATAATAAAAAAAAAATCTTAAAAAAATAAGAAAAACGTATTTTTCCTCTACCTTACTTTACGAATACAGTATGTAATATACAAAACATAAAAAAAATTTGTTAATCGATTGTTTACATTGTCAGTAAAGCTTCTGCTCAACAGTAGGATATTAGCAAAGTTTCTGGGGAGTCAAAAGTTATACAGAGATTTTCGACAGCCTGGGGGGGGTTGGTGCCCCCAGCCTCTGTGCAACAAGGTCAACTGTACATTCCTTAATTAAAAAATATTTTAGGGCGCCTGGGTGGCTCAGTCGGTTAAGCGACTGCCTTCGGCTCAGGTCATGATCCTGGAGTCCCTGGATCGAGTCCCGCATCGGGCTCCCTGCTCGGCAGGGAGTCTGCTTCGTCCTCTGACCCTCCCCCTCTCATGCTCTCTCTCTCTCTCTCATTCTCTCTCTCAAATAAATAAATAAAATCTTTAAAAAATATTTTATTGCTAAAAAAATGCTAACCATCATTTAAGCTTTCAGCAAGGTGTAATCACTGATGACACAGCACCATCACAAATAAAATAATAATAAATTTATTATAAATAATAATCCCAAGAATTACCAAAATGTGACACAGAGACACAAAGTGAACACGTGCTGTTGGCAAAATGGAGGTGACAGACTTGCTTGATGCAGGATTGCCACAAAAAAAAAATGGAGTATCTGTGAAGCTCAATACAGTGAAACATGAGTGGTGTATGCCTGTTTACAAAATTCAACAACTATTCATGATAAAAACTCCCCCAAAGCTAGAAAAATAGAAGATAACATACAAAAACCAACAGCTGACCTCAAACTTAATGGTGAGGGACTGAACACTTTCCCACTAAGATCAGGAGAAAAGAACAAGGCAAGCATGTCTTCTCTCGCCTTTCCTACTCAACACTGTACCAGAAGTTCTAGTTAATGCAATAAGGCAAGAAAAAGAAACAAAAGGCATACAGACTGGAAAGGCAGGACTAAACCTGTCTTTATTTGCAGACAACACGATTGTCTATGTAAAAAACTCTAGTCCACCAAAAAACCCATTGGAACTAATATGCAAGTCTAGCAAGATCTCAGTCAATAGCTTTCCTATTATATGCCATCAATGAATAACTGAAATGGGAAACCAAACCAAACCATTTAAATGGCATTAAATTTTAAAAAAGGATATATATGCAAAAAACTTGTTTATAAAACACTATATGCAGAAAACTACAAAGCAATGATGGAAAAAATCAAGACGCTCTAAATAAATGGAGAGTATTGTATGTTCATGGATAGGAAGACTGAGTATTGACAAAAATGTCAATTCTTCCCAATCTGATCTATGGATACAACACAATCCCAATCAAAATCCCGGCAAGCTTTTTTTTTTGGGGGGGGGGAGTAAATATTGACAAACTGATTCTATAATTTATAAAGCAAAGGTACTAGGACAACCAAAGAAATTCTAAAAAGAAGAATAAGGTTGGAAGACTTGATTTCATGATCTATCAAGCTGTATGAATCAGGACAGTGTGGTATTGACCAAGTGACAGACGCTCAGATCATGTTATATCTATTTTACCACAATAAGAATAATTGAAAAAAAAAAAAGATAAGGCTTCCTGCCCTTGGGAGCTCATGGTCTTGGGGGGATGGAGATAAGTCCTATAATCAGATAAATTACAACGTAATGCTGCATGAGCTATGTAGTACTATGAGTAAATTGTGCATTAAGAGCCCAAAAGGTGGGCATGGCTGTCCTGGATGCAGGGTCATGGAGGAGGTAAGATGTGGGCTCTGGAGAAGGCCTGCCTGCTTGACTCTTGCCTGTGCTATTCACTAATGTGTGACCTTTTACGGAACTGCACCTGCCTCAGTGTCCCACCTACAGGAGCATCTGTCTCCACAGGATTCTTGAGAGGGCTCAATGAGTCAACACATGGAAAATGCCTGGGGGCGCCTGGTGGCTCAGTTGGTTAAGTGTCCGATTCCTAATTTCAGCTCAGGTCATGATCTCAGGGTTGCAAGATCGAGTCCTGCGTCGGGCTCTGCGCTCGGCACGGAGTCTGCTTCTCTCTCTTTCTCCCTCTCTCTCTTCCCCTCCCCCTGCTTGCACGTGCTTGCTCTCTCTAAATAAATAAATAAAATCTTAAAAAACAACAAAAAAAGAAAATGCTTGGCGCATAGTCAACACGAAAAAATATTTTTCATACTATTAAACTCAAATCAACTCTAAGTAGCCCTCATAAAGTTTGTACAGCAGAGCAAGCTCAATTATGCCTAAGGAATCATTCTGATGCCCTCTTAAAATCCAGAGTTGTAAAGACCTCCCCGTCCTGATCTCTGTGTGTGGTGACTGTTCGGGTGGCTTACTCCGCAGGCAACACCCTCACAGACTATATGATTCAGCACGAGGGTGTTCCCTTCACCAGGATAGAAACACACCAACGCTCGGAAGACACACATTCTGGCTGTTCTTCCAGTAACGGCCATGATATTACCTGTCCTCTCTCACCAATTCTTTCTGTGAGGAGTTGCTCACACTTGTGATATGATGGGCTAAACCTCTCTGTCACACTGTGGCCAAAAAGGAATGCATTCTAAAATTGGGAGAACATATCAAGCTTTCATTTAAAAAATAATCTCATCCTTGCTAATATGCCACACCCAGAAACCTGTATTTACTTGGATCTGCACCTGTAAGTGAATTTTTTCCCCTCACTAATCTTCCAATAGACTTTGATCAAAGACCTGGAGTTATTACTGCTGCCAGTTCTGACTGTATATATTTTAGAAGTATCCTGTGTAATTAAGAACTATTTTTCAATCCACATCAAGGTACGGCAAAGCAAATTTCATAATGTAGGAAGTTTCTGTTTTGTTGGTGGCACAAGTTAGTTAAATTGCTCACAAACATCCCTAAATGCTTTTGAGATTAATTATTATGCTTGTCTCACAGTATCTCCTCACAGACATCTGTAAAAATGAAACTGCTGGCTCTGACAATTGGTTCAACAAGATGATCTCATTCCTAGCTTTCACTAACTCCTGCCTTATGTCAGATAAAATATAGGGAAAAAACGTTAAATTAAAAAAGAAGCAAATGTTAGCTGCAACACGACAAAGAAAAACATATTCTGTGTATACTATTGTCTACCAAGTTCTCATTTTTTTTCTTGGATTCCTTATGTTTAATTATCTGTTGTTACTTGTTAGCTGTTCAGTGTTTCAGAAGGGAAGATAAATCAGGCTCTTTTTACTCCATCTTGGCCAGACATGTGTGTCACCTCCTTTCTAAATTCTCTAGCCTCTTATTTATGTGACAGGGACATCTGTTTCTTAAAAAGTTTCATAGAATTTGGACTTACTGGATTTTTTGCATGCATGACTACATTTTTAAACAATGAATTCGATTTCTTTAATGGATAAAGTTCTATTTCATTTTGAGTGAGTTTTGGAGAAATACATTTAGTATTTGAAGAAATATATTTACATTTCTTTAGAAAATTGCTCATTCTGTTTTAAACATATTGGTGTAACACTGTTCATAGTACTGACGTTTCTATGACAGCTGGACTTTTGCTTTTTCATTTCTCAGATTCCCCACATCCTCTGAGGGTTACAGACCTGTGGCTCACTGTGACTTCCATTTGGATTTTCCCAATCACTGATGAGACTGAACATCTTTTTACATGTTTATGAGCCACTCGTGGTTTGCCTATTCTAGCCTTTGATAATTTTCTACTAAGTTGTGTTTTTATTATTAGTTAGTAGAAATTATTTATAGATTATCTGTCTTCTCTTTACTTTTTATGCAGTTCTGTTATGATGTGTCTGGATAGGTATTTTGCATGATTCATCTTGTTTGAGGTTCATTAAGAATCTATGGTCTTTCATCATTCTGGAAAAATTTCAGGCACCATTTCTTCAAATATTCTCTCTCCCATTCTTTCTTTCCTCTTCTTCTGGAATTCCCATTGGCCATGGGACTTAGAAATTGTCTGGTTTTATCTTCCATTCGCTTAAGCTCTGCAACAGACACTATCAGTTGGTTAATCTAATAGTTATTCCCAACCTGTCTATCCCTTGTAGGCTTCCCGCTAAAGAGAATAGAGAATATAAATTGCTTACTTTCTCAAATTCCCTCACAGCTGGGGTGACCATGTAACAAGAGTACTGCCAATGAACTGAGGGGCTCTGGGAAGCCTTTTGATTTCCTTGTCAAAGGGGGAAGATATGAGGCACTTGTTCTATCCTTTCCCCCTCCTTCCTGTCCAGCAGATGGGAATGACGTCTGGAGCATGGCAGCCATGTTCAACCACAGAGGACATGGGGACTAAGAGCCAACAGATTAAAGATGGTGGAGTGTAGATAAGACACACTCTGGAGTCCTTGATTACAATACTGAACAGTGAACCAATCCTGAAACTACTTTTGGACTTCTCATTAAAAAAAATAAAATTAACAGCTTTATGGTTTAAGCAACTATTAGTTGGGTTTTCCATTTCTTGAATTTGTCTTTTTTTAAAAAAGATTTATTTATTTATTTGAGAGACAGCACACACATGTACATGAGTGTGTGTGTGTGTGTGGGGGGGGTAAGGGCAGAGGGGGTCTCATGACCCTGAGATCTTGACCTGAGCCAAAATCAAGAGTTGAACACCCGACAGACTGAACCACCCAGGCATCCCCCCATTTCTTGAATTTGAATACATACTAATACAATCCCTCTATTATATTTTCCACTTTTTAAATGTCTGTTTCATGTTCTGGATAATCTCCTTAGTTCTATTTTCCAGCTCAGTAGTTCTCTCTTCTGCTATATCTAATCAGTTTTTCAATCCGAGGGGCTTTTTTAATTTCTAATTTTTATTTCTACTAGTTTCATTTGATTCTTTTTCCAAATCTTTTTTTTAATAGTACCATGGTCCTTATGATTTTTATTTCCTCTTTTACCTCTTTAATATGTTTAAACATAGTCTTTTGTAGTCTCTTATTATTTTATTATCCCACATTCTGGTAGCTGATCCTCTTGTTTGCTCTATCTGCTGATTAGCTCAACTAGATCATTTTCTTGAGTGTTTTGTAATTTTGGATTGTGAATGTATTTTCAGTGGCCATTGTACCACTAGCCCAGAAGCTTTGTGCCTCAGATAGTATAAACTAGGGGCTTCTTGCAGCACAGATATAAATTTGAACTCCAAACCTCATCTGGCCCAGTTTTCTTTTCTTGCAGATTTTCCTTTTTTTGGCCACACACACACACAATCTAAGGTGGAAACCAAGCTTCTGTATCACTTCCCTTGACTGGCGGGTAGAGCTGTTTATTTTCCCCTTCGCTAAGAAGAACATCATTTTGTGACCTTGGGTTTTGTGCAAGGGTCTCAGTACTAATGTTCTGTTTACGGGAGCTCAGCACCTTGTCTTTTGTTCCTGTGTGGGCATTAAATAAAACCTATACCCATTAGGGAGCCTTTTACTATGAGCCCTCTACCAGCACTCCCAGGCCCACTTCTGAGGCTTGCCAGTCTTAGTTTATGCCTCGTGGCTCTGGTTTTCACTTCTCTTTGAATTTCTGACATCTGGCCATTTCCCATTCTTTCTTCTGACCACACCTATGTGTTGATATTTTTATAATTACATTTTATCCAGATTTCTAGGTTACTTGAACAACAGGGCTTTAATAATGCAGTCCACCGTGCTTCCAGATATGAAATTTATCCACAATGAAATCTTTGAAAAAACTCTAAATCATATGTGGTTAGACAACTGAATTAAAAAAAAAAAATTTTTTTTGAAATAGGCTCCACACCCAGTGCATAGCCCAATGCGGGGCTTGAACTCACAGCCCTGAGAATTGAGACCTGAGCTGAGATCAAGTCAGATGCTGAACCGACTGAGCCACCCAGGTGCCCCAATAATATTTTCATATTCGGGATCATGAGTAACAGATCTTTAGCAAATGGATTTTAATTTTTTTTTTTTTAATATTTTATTTATTTATTTGACAGAGAGAGACACAGCAAGAGAGGGAACGCAAGCAGGGGAAGTGGGAGAGGGAGAGGCAGGCTTCCCGCGGAGCAGGGAGCCCGATGCGGGGCTCGATCCCAGGACCTGGAATCATGACCTGAGCCGAAGGCAGACGGTTAACGACTGAGCCACCCAGGCGCCCCGTGGATTTTAATGTTTTGTAAGAAATAGTTCAGTAGATGGCATAAAGTTCTTTCTCCTATAAGTAGAATCAAGTATCACAAGGATATAAAATAGGATACTTACCAGGCTGGGTTTGATGCCTACACTTTCGGCTGCTTCAAATGCCAACAAGAGATTCCTTTTCTAGGTTAAAAGGACAGAGACTGGAATTATCAACTAAAAACACAGAGCTTTTGAAAAAAATAAAAATAAATATAAAAATATATAGTTTTTGCCAGGAAAGAACACCAAATGACACTCCCATATAGATATTTATATATTATAAAACACTTAAAATTTTAAGTCAAATATGCAAACAGGGTTTCAGTCCAAGGAAGAAAATGACTGACAGGTTAAATAATTAAAATGACATTACCGATTGATTCCTGACTATCAAAGATAAATATTTGTTAGTTCAGTTATTTTTTACTTTGCCACGATTTATGACATACACATTCTGTTGTGTATCAAGAGTTGTTTAATCACAGTGCTATATATACCATTTCCCCCTAGAATTCTAAAGGCACTGTTCCACATTTAGCCCGAATTTGCAGCTTCTTCTTGAGACTCTTTCTGGCTCGTCTGATGTTTCCTCACCTGGATGAACTTGAGGATCACTTAATCCTGCCTCCTCCCCTCCATAGTTCATTTGAGAGTCATTAGGATAACATCAAAATTTAATTAGATTGGTATATTAAGTTTAATCAAGAAAGTCATGTTCCTGTAAGTAATATTCACGTTTTATGTTCCCCAGTAGAATTTCATGATTTTATGCATTTGGATTTTACGCATTTGGATTTGATAAATAATGTTATATCCCTTTTTCCATTTCCGCATGGCCTCCACCCTCTGTCCTTGGGTGCACATTTGCTCCCTGAAGCTGGGTGGGCCCCGCCCTGAGACTGAAGCAAACTCTCTGCTCTAGGTACTAGGTCACAGAAAAAGGGAAAGACGAGGCTGTGCACGTTTTCCAGGCTGTGTGGTCGGGGCCTGGGAAAGCTGTTGATCTGTGGTCATCTTGCCCAAGCCACCAGCCCTCTTCCTCCAAATTAAGGGAGATTTATGGGCACGAACTGGAAACCTTCTGCTTGTTTCCATAACACTGCTCTCTGTTCTGCTGAGACAGGAGCTCTAAGTTGGCTCCTGGCTTCCTTTAATTGAGCCCAAACTTGCGGCAGCCATCTCCTATCTTGTGCTTATTTTAAAGTCCCTTTTGATTAGTTCTGAGGGGGAATGGGGGACCGTAAGCTACACCTGGGGCACCTGGCTGGCTTAGTGGGTGGAGCATGCGACTCTTAATCTCAGGGTCGTGAGTTCAAGCCCCATACTGGGCATGGAGCGTACTTAAAAAAAAATAAATAAAAGGCTGCACCAATTTGCAATTCCAGCAATAGTGTGTAAGTGTCCATTTTCTCACACTTTTAGCTGCAGAGACTATTATGACCAAGCACTGTTGCCTAATTCTTTCATTGCAACGGTGTCAGGCCCCCGCGAGGCCAGGGGGTGGGGGGTGGAGAAAGCTGCCACTTACAGGGAGCAGGGGGGAGTGTGCCCAGGGCGGAACCGAGAGGTTCCCAGAGCCCTTCCAGCCCCAGGATAGCATTAGCCCCTGGTAGAGATCTTGGTGTTGGCCTCAGCAGCAGCGCATCTCACCTAAAACTGACAGCAGAAAGCATCCCACGTCCAGAAAATTTCTCCTCTCACATTAAAATTTTGTTTCAGACACTGACACGAAAATAGTCCGTTCTATCACCTGAATCTGAGTAGCCTATGTGGAAGTTTCATGGGCTGACAGATAAATATGCTTTCTGTTGAAAAAAATGCCCAAACCTTCCACTGACTGTAACTCACGTCTCTTTAATGTCTTCGAAGACATCCTTGTTAGCTTTATCAGAAATTCCCTATTTAACACTGATGTCCAACCGACTTGGTTTCATTACATCCATCTGGGTAGATGGAACAGCTCATGATTTCTGAACTTCCCGGGCTATCATTAATCTCACAGACCCGCAGTCTTCCACAGTCTGACTTGGGTGCTCCCTGAAAACAGCATCCTAGATTAGAGGGAAGACATTCAACCCTACGTGTAGAGACCACGGGCCCCTGTACCACAAGGACAATGGGAAGTGAGTAAATGGTGGTGTCTGGGTGTTGCATGTTTCCAAATGTGTAGCCAGTGACCAGGGCAGCTGGGCCGTGAGGTGTGTGGGAACCATGGAGACCCATGGCAAGACACCGCACTTTCATAAGGAAGCAGCGCTCATGATTCAAAGCGTGAAAGCAAACACTTTTAGGTTCGTTATTTTCCAACAGATCCAGAGTGATCTGAGGACGAAGAGCCTAGGTGTGTTTTGCATGAGAGCAGACAAACATTTCACACCTTCAGGAAGATTCCTGTTTTAGATAGGGTGTGCATAAGTGCGGAGACTTCTATTTATGATAGTTTTAGTGAGGTCCTCCTCCGATGATTCTGAGTTGTTTTATGCCCACTCTTGACTCAATTATCTTCATAATATCACACGGAAAAGACAGAGGCTGCAAAGCGAAGAGAAGGGACACGGAGGTCACTGCTGGAGGTGGGCTCTGTCTGCGAGGGGCTCGATGCACAGGCTGTGGGTACCCCACATGGCCCCAGCTTGTCTCCTCCTTTCTGGCTGCTCCACTCTGGTTCCCTTTGCTGGGTCACTCTCTCCCTAGATGACAAGCATTGGAGTCAAGGTTCCTTAGCCTTCTCTCTATGCCTCTGTGATATTGTGATTTATAGCAAGAAATATACATTTGGTCTTTGTCCACAGTTCCTGGCACAGGGCTCCTAAAACCCTTATCATTTCCCATATAAGAGCTATAGGGGCATCCTTTGTTACGATCTTTGGTTTTTGTCCTCAGTTCCAGAAATGGCTTCAGAACAACAAAGTTGGAATAGATGTCTTCTGTTACTCGTAACAAACCTCTTTCTTCTTTTTTTTAAAGATTGCAACATCTCTCTCTCTTTTTTTAAGATTTTATTTATTTATTTGAGAAAGAGAGAAGGAGAGATAGTGAGAGAGTACAAGTGGGAAGGAGAGGGAGAAGCAGGCTCCCTACTAAGCAGGGAGCCCGATGCGGGGCTCGATCCCAGGACTCTGGGATCATGACCTGAGCCGAAGGCAGACGTTCAACCAACTGAGCCCCCCAGGCGCCCCAACAAACCTCTTTCAACCGCACCTGAGTTTATGTTAAAGAGGTGTTTTTCAAAAAACCCCAGATAACCTAAGGATGGGGGCTGGCTGCTAGGGGAACCAGCCATGTGATTAGAAGGTTGGAACTTTCAGGCCCATATCCCCTGACCCCAACCTCGGGGAGGGGAGACAGACTGGAGACTGAGTTCAATCACCGATAGCCAATGGTTTAATCAATCGTGCCTATGTAAGGAAGCCTCCATTAAGCTCAAAAGGATGGGGTTCAGAAAATGTGTGTTGGGAGGGTGGTGCACCCCAAGGTCCAAGGGGACAGAAGCTCTTGCGCTCGGGACCCTTTTGGACCTCACCCTAGGGGTCTCCTCATCTGGCTGGTCATTAGTGTCCTTCAATATCCTTTGTAATAAACTGGTAACCTAGTAAGTACTGTTTTCCTGAGTTCTGGGAGCCTCTCTAGCAAATTAATTAAACCTAAGGAAGGGGCCATGGGAACCTCCGGCTTAGTCGGTCAGTCAGAAGCAAGGTGACAACTACATGGTCACCGGGGTCTGAAGTGAAGGGCACGGTCTTGTGGGACCGAGCCCTTAACCTGTGGGACCTGATGCTCGTTCCAGGCGGACAGTGTCAGAACTGAGTCACACTTGAGAATACCCAGCTGGTATTGCAGAACTGCCCGGTATGGGCAAAACCCGCCATCTGTTTACAGAAGTATCAGAAGTGAAACGCTGGGAGCAGAGTGGATACAGACGAGTTTCTCTTCAGAGCTTCCCTTAGGACCTACGACCGAGGTGATCTCCACTCTCGTGGCTTTAAATACCATCTATATCCGCCCTGCTGGAGGCAGTAGCTACACCTGACACGTGGCTATTTAAATCAAAAGTAATTAAGATTAATAATTCAATTTTCCAATCATTGAAAGCCACATTCATTAACGGCCCAATGGACTAGTGGCTACCATGTTGGATAGCGCAAATGTAGAACTTTTCCATCATTTTGATTCACTTAGGCAGCCCTTACCTACTCCCTGGTGACTCCCGAATCTGCCTTCCAGCTCTGATCTCCCCTCTGAATTCCACATTTATTATCCAACCACCTGCCTGACATTGCATGCTACATACTTTAGGAACATCTCCCACTTAACATGATTAAGAACAGAATAGCTTTTCTGGTTTTGTTTTCCAAATGTTTAATGCTCCTGTCCAGCCTGCTTCACGGACTACCAACGCACAAATTTTCCGTCTTGAGATTTTTATATGCTCTGTGATGGTTAATTCTATGTATTGACGTGGCTAGGTCATGGTACCAAATGTTTGGCCAAACATTATTCCAGATGTTTCTGTGAAGGTATTTTTAAGATGAGATTAACATTTAAATCGGCAGACTCTGGGTACAGCACATCACCCACCATAGCATTAGGCCTTAATAGAAAAAGCCTGATCTCCCTCGAAGAAGAGGGAATTCTGCCAGCAAACTGCCTTCAGATCCAAACCGTGGCATTCAACTTCCTTGCACACACACACACACACACACACACACACCCTATTACTTCTGTTTCTCTGGAGAACCCTGACTAACACTGCAGAAAATTAAATCACTCTGTTCAGTTATTATCACCATCAGTGCCATGACCATGCACTGGGCTTTATAATCAAAACAGAACTTTCCAGCATTTCTATTCCTTCCCCATCTTGGAAAATGACCTGTCAGGCTAGACATGCCTCTCCTTCCTCGTGTCCTCCCCCACAACCAACCAGTTACTAAGTCCAGCGGATTCTACATCTAAGACCTATTCTGAATCTATCTCCATCTTTCTATCCACGATGCTACCGCCCCTGCCGCAGCTAATGGCTGGAGTCAGGGACGCTAAGCCCTCACGTTGATGACTGCAGGGGCCTCCCATCTGGTAGCGCCTCACCCATTCTTGTTCCTTTTCCAGTTCTTTTTCTCACATAACAGCGAGAAAGATCTTTCAGAAACACGAATCGTGTGTCTCCACCATTTAGAATCCTTCAATGACTTCCCACTGAGTTTAGAGCAAGAGGCAGATTTCTTTCCAGAGCCCTCTGTGGAAGGCCTGCAGGGTCTGGCCCCGTCTGGCCCCCAGGACTATCACAAGCCACTCTTCCCCGCTCACTGCACTCTGGCCAGTGGGCCCTCCTCCACGTTCCCCGACCACACCCAGGTGTTTTCTTGGTCAGGCTGCTCCCTTGCTCTGGAAAGCTCCCCCTAGCTCTTTGTATTACTGGCTCCTGGTTCGTTCTGAAGAGTATCGCCTCTCAGAGAAGCCTTCTCAGCCTTCCTGATCTAAATTAGGAAACCTGTTCACTCCCATGGCATGAGGTTTCTCTCATAGCTCTTCTGCAATTTATTTATTTATAACATTACCTGTTACAGGTTTACTCACTTATGGACCTGTCTCCCTACTTTAGAGGGCAAAGAACAGGTCTACTTTGTTCACTGTTGTCTTTATTACTGTGCACGATGCTTGGCAAGTAATACTTGTGGAGAGAATGAGCGCAGGGCCCAGAACAGCATTTTCCAAAGTACGCTCTGTGGAATATGATTTTGTAGGATGTTCTAGGTCAGGGTTTGGCAAACTATAGCCCTCAGACCAAATCGGGCCCACAGCCTCTTTGTGTAAATAAAGTTTTTTTGGAACATAGCATGCCCATCCGTTTTGTCTCGGGCCACTTGGGCACTATCATGGTAGATGAGTAGCTGTGACAGAGACCTGTGGACCCACAAAGTCCACTATTTGGCCCTTAACAGGAAAATTTGCCAACTCTTGTAGGTAATTGTATTAAAAAATTCTGTGGATCTGATATATGTAGGGTTAAACAGAGTCACACAAGGTTTCTTTCATGTTCCTGAAGTCTTTACTGTGCTAATGAGCACTGTGAATCTCTAAGAATGTGACATAATATATAGTTTCCCAAGCTTATCTGAGCAGCGAGATCCTTTTCTTGGTGCTTCTGGTTCTTTTAGAAAAGACTGAAAATGCTGGCCAAGGTCTTAAAGCCACGAAGGTAAAATTTCATCAAGGCTTTCTCTCAAAAAATGGGTAACAGTCACAGTAAACTGGTCTTCACTCCATTTTTCCAGGCCACCAGGGCAACTGAGAAGTATTTACTGAGGGTGGGATCCTACAGCCTTGTCATACACTCAGTAGCTATGTCTGCCTGGTACCAATATCCTGATTTCCACTAGGAGTCTATAAACACCACCCCATCTGGATGTACAGTATTATAGGAATTCCCCTTGCATGTTCTAGAGGATAACCAGGGGTGACTGGGCAGGTGACTTACTTTCTCCTGACTGTTCAGCTCCTGATATGGGATGTGGGCAGGCAGGTAGGTATGAAGGAGAGCACAAAAGGCCAAGCCATCACTCCAGCTGCTGCTGAAATTGGTGATATCAATGTTCTGTAGGGGGGGAAAAGCAGCATTAATCTCCAAACTGTGCAAGGGCAGAGAATACGAACAAGACTATGGGAAGATGGGTATCCACCTCTGGGTTTGCAGGAAGGCCGGATGAGAAACCACCCAAGACTGCCGGGAGTCCATTTAATTCTGGTACCAGCAATGACCCGGTGTCACCCAAATCCACTCACAGAATCGCATGAAAAAAAGCCTTAAGGGCTCCCAACCCTGGGGAATTTCTGCCTACGCGGTGGTACGTGAAAAGCTCTGAGACATCTTATTCTCAAATCCACCCACTCAATTAGCTTTCTTTCTTTTTTAAAGATTTATTTATTTGAGAGAGAGAGAATGAGAGAGAGAGCACATGAGAGGAGGGAGGGTCAGAGGGAGAAGCAGACTCCCCGCTGAGCAGGGAGCCCGATGCAGGACTCGATCCTGGGACTCCAGGACCATGACCTGAGCCGAAGGCAGTCGCTTAACCGACTGAGCCACCCAGGTGCCCTCAATTAGCTTTCTATGTCCCAGCATTTCCCAGATTCATCTGGTCAAGGAGGAATCCTCATCATGATCGTCATGACGTATGACCCCAATTAACAACAGGTAGACCAAGACAAACCAAGATCTTAAAAACCTAGATGGCCTCTAGCGATGAGGTAGGTCAAATGGCTCGTTTTATAGGAAAGACATGGAGGAGGTGGTGTCCACACGTCACACACGGTGTACCTGGATGACGGACACTCCGGCAGGCCAAGTCCCCACCCTGTGGCCCTTTCTAGCAAACCTCTTCTGTTTTCTAGCCAGAGTCCAGGGTGACCCAGGTGGACCCTAGAACGTCCCCCACAAAGCGCTGCCTTTCAGAAATGTCGGATTCTCCAGCCTGCTTTGCAATTACGTCTACCTGGGGGAAGGATCTCTGGCTGAGAGCAACACACAACCATAATAATGCCTTTTCGTTCTGGTTTTCATGACTCAAGCACAACCAGATTTTAAGAGCTGCTAAGCATCCGTGTTACATAAAAGTCTGAGAATGCCCCGTCTCCGTTTTCGGGCTGAATGTGCACGAGCTGGGCCTCCTGGTAAGCTGATCATTTGCATTCTTGGCTTCAAAAAGTCTCCCTGGAGACTCTGGAGCTACCTGATGGGGCCTGGATGCTGCTTCAGAAATGGGAAACACTGTAATTTTATATTTTCTCAAGAGGTCTGCATGTTAAAAAAGAAGAGGAAAGACACAGGCGGGGGCCATGCCCTGTCCGGTTCACTTGAAGTCTCAGGCACTAGAACCAGATGCTCATCGGCTCATCGGACCCTGGGAAGTGGGCGCAAGGAGCGGGGCTGGGCCAGCCTTCGGAAAACCAGTGCTTGTCGACACGGAGTCCCCTTTCTTTGGCATGTAGAGGTCGTCTGAGACCCTGTCTCCCAACCCATCTCTCACGGTACCTGTGACCTGGCAGAAGGAAAGCCGGACTTTCTTTCCAGGGACCGCTTGCTGATGGTTATTGTTCATGCTCAGCACTAGGGCATCTGTGAAAACGGGACAAGCACGCACCACACCTGGCAGTGTTCGCTCCGAAAGGCAACGTCGATGTACAGCTCATTTCATCGTCAAAGGAAACTGAGGCCGGAAGCAGTGGTGTTTCCGTCAGAAAGGCCACATTTTAAATAGAAAGCCAAACATTCAATGAATGACCAGGATGTAAGTCCCTGAAATATGAGTGCCGGGACATATCAAGCTCCAAAAATGGGGGCAGTGAGGGTGGTAAAATTCACTGAGTGTCTACAATGTGCCTGGTGCTGGGCAGTTCCTTATTTAATTCTCAGAATGACAATACATCGTAAGTAGCGCTGTACCCATTTCACAGATGAGGAAGCCAAAGCAGGAAGAAATATCACTGAGGCCAGAGTTAGGGGCAAATTGCAGTTCTGCCCGACAGCAAAGCACATCATGTTTGCTGTCCTTCCTTCCTTTTTTTTTCTTTCTTCCTCCTCCTCTGCCTTCCTTCACAAATTTACTTCATGCCTAAAGTTTTTAAGTTTTGAGAAATCTTTCATTTCCTAAAACGTGAGAACATTTTACCCACTTATCTCCTGTACCTTTTTTTTTTAATGATACAAAATGCCATTTTCCTTCATCTGCACGATCTTCAGAAGCATTCTGAGAGGCCAGACAGACCCAAAGGGGTGACGAGGCCATCAGTCTCACAAAACCAAGAAAGTGCCCAGTATTTCAGCTAACTGAGTGTCACCTAGGAGCAGTTTTGGAGTTAAAGATTTTATTTATTTATTTGAGACTGAGAGCGAGAGAGCACAGAGGGAGAGGAAGAGGGAGAAGCAGGTTTGCCGCTGAGCAGAGATCCCGACGTGGGGCTCGATCCCAAGACACTGAAATCATGACCTGAGCTGAAGGCAGATGCTTAACTGACCGAGCCACCCAGGCGTCCCCACAGGAGCAGCTTCTGATCTATAAGTATAAATGAGCAACAGGTTGAGACTATAAAATCTGGTTGAAAAAAATCAGTCTAAACGACTCACAACATCAGGAGAGTTCAGACAGCCCGGAAGCTTCTAGACAGATGGCAGCTCGCGGGCCTTTCCAGAAAACGTGAAGCACACTGTAAAGCACACCCTGGCACTTCAGCAGCAAGACCACACCAACACTACACAAGAAATAGGAGCAGTGCCCTATCTTAAAAAAAAAGGGGGGAATTATGGAAATTCCAAATCTAGGCAGGTTATCAAATCCAACATCCAGGTCAGGAAATGCTTCTTTCATGTAACCCACAGCCACCATGTTTAAGACTTGGAGTTCTTCTGACACTGGAAGAGATGGATGACAACCAGCTGTGATCTGCAGCATTATACTCATTCCGAGAACATGTGGCTATCAAGTAAAAACTTTACCCTTCTTAGGATAAAGTGGAACATCTCAATTCTAGTTCCCTGAATGTCATTTGAAATCCTAATTCCATTGGAACGACAAGAGTATCAACAACCCCCAAGTCAACACAGCTGGTTGAACAACTGAAAACATGCGTACGTTTATGATACCTCAAGTAAGAGGATGCAAAGGACTATACACATCTCAGTGGTAGCTTTGTAGCGATGGTTAATACAAAAGCAGTTCATTTCTGCTCATTGAGGTATCTTTTTGTGAGCTGTATGATATAACTTAGTGCATGAGGAGTTAGCTGATGTGGGGTGCCACACTTTGAGGCAGGGTGTGTGGGTCCCAGCGAAATGGGCTAAGACACAGTACGGTTGTGGCCACCTGCGAGGGAGGACGAGGTAGCCACGGCAGAAAGGGGCTCATGTGGACTGGACCAATGCACTGGGTAACAGGCGAAAGACAACAGTTTCTTGGGCATGGCTAGCTGGCCAATCCTAGGAACCCCAGGAACCAAGCGAGGACTAATTCCAGGTCCTACCCCTAAAATGTGGGTGAAAACTTTTATTTTTGGTTAGGGATGATCAGGATTGGCTTGGCCTTGGATGGGGGGAGGTGGCTCTTGCTGAGCTTGTGGGTTATAGTCCTCAATGCTCACAGATGAACCTCTAACTTAGGACAAAAACAGAGGCTAATAATACAAACACCCCCAAGGGGTGTTAGTTAATATCTTCCTTCTCCCAATTATCATTCAGCTGAATTCTTAGGGGGTTCATCAAAAGAATAAGAGGAAAAACAGAAAATGATCAACAAGGCATTCTACAAGGCATATCGTCAGTTATTTTCCTTGTTATTTACTCCTGAATAAAATCGAGTAGGATAATTGTTATCTTTAACTGGAAGTTAGTAACGGGCCAGGAGCAGACAGGATTCTGGGGGTGCTAGCAATGCTGTGTTTCTAGGCCTGGATGTTAACTGCATGGGTACCTTCGTGTTATGAAATTTCACGGAATGGTACACTTGCATGTTCTATCTCAGTAAGAAAGGGAGGGTGGGCGGGAAGAAGGAAAACAGAAAAGAAAGATGGGACTGATCCTCTTAAGGGACTGCACTGTGGCTGTTAAAAAAGAGAGCGAACTTTTTGGATTTTATGTCCTATAAGAGTTACCGAGGGGGGGCGCCTGGGTGGCTCAGCTGGTTAAGCGACTGCCTTCGGCTCAGGTCATGATCCCGGAGTCCTGGGATCGAGTCCTGCATCGGGCTCCCGGCTCGGCGGGGAGCCTGCTTCTCCCTCTGACCCTCCCCCCTCTCATGCTGTTTCTCTCTCTCTCCCTCTCTCTCTCTCAAATAAATAAATAAATAAAATCTTTAAAAAAAAAAAAAAAAAGAGTTACCGAGGGGAAAAAGAGCAAAAAAGAAACTTCTTGCTGATTATTTCCCCAAGGGAAATGGTAATTACTCGCTGCAAATTATCTTTAACTTTCTCTGGGATATAAATACGTTAGAGATATTTCTGAGTGGAAAAGAAATCTGGGGAAAGGAAGTCTCACATATACACATATATGGTACATGGTATCAGATATATATATATATATATATATGGTAAATTCCAAGCACCTCCAAAACAGGTTAAGTTTCTATAGAAGAAAATTTTGTAAGATATGGAATTTTGTCTTCAGTGCAGCAAAAGTCATTTGAGAAAAGTGAATACGCTGAAGAGTATTTACATGAGAAGCTAAGCTAACTTCAGCGACTATCCAAGAATATTCCCTCGAGTGGCTGAGACTGTAGACAAATAAAGCTCTACAGGGGTGAATGTGGAGGTAGCACTCGTAAATAACATGGAGGGACAAAAGCAAAGCAAAACCCAGCAATCTACAGCACTTGCTTCTAGAAGGTTCATTCCATTTGCCTTTTGTTGCCTGGAAACACCAGGGCTTGGTGAAAACATCAAGGGCTGGAGAGAGAAGCTGCAGAGTGCACGCTGAAATGGGTCCTGTGCTCAATTCCGCGGAGGCTGCAGCTGGATTCTATAGTTGTCTGACCTCAATCCCACCACTTCATCTTTTCTGAGGCTCTCTAGCTTCCTCCATTAGATTTCTGTGAATGGGTTGTGAATGGG